TCCCTCCTTCCTCCTTTTTTTAAATTGACATATAACTGACATATAACGTTATATTAGTTTCAGGTGTACAACATAAGGATTCCACACTTGTATACTCTGCGAAATGTCTACAAATTAGTTAACGATTTGTTACCATGCATAGTTACTACCTTCTTCCTTCTTTGTGGGGAGGATCCCTTTGGGTTTTCAAGGGACTCTCCCTGACCTTTGAGTAGAGTTCCCCGCAACTGTCAAGTTCAGTTGAAAACAAAATACTCATCGTTTGATGCTGGTGGAGCCAGAGTCGGGAGGAAATGAAAGTCTCTGTGGCCCCTGTGATGCATGCTCTGCCCGAGCAAGCGAGCAGGCCGCGGCCAGAGGGACCGAGGCTGTGCCGGAAAGCCTGGGAGGGGCGGGAGCCCGGTCCTGTCTCTCTCGGGTTTTCTTGGGAGCCATCTGAGGCCCAGGCAGCCAGCCGCAAGGGGCTTTCCAGCAGTTGGCCATCCTGTCCCAGAGGGCTTGCTATCTCCCCGGGCCCACACCTGTGTAGCTTCTGGCCGGTTCCTGGGTCCTCTGGCATGGCTCAGGAGGAGACCCCAAGTGTCACAGGTAGGGGGAGACAGGAAAGGTTGAGAGGGGTTAGGAGAGTCCCGGGGACTCCTGTTGCAGGCTCCCCAGGTGATTCAGCAGTGAAGAATCTGCCCGCCAATGCAGGAGATGTCAGTTTGATCCCTGAATCAGGAAGATTCCCTGGGGAAGTAAATGGCGACCCACTCCAGTGTTTCTTGGGTGGGAAATCTCATGGACAGAGGAGCCTGGTGGGCTATAGTCTGTGGAGTCGCAGAGTTGGACTCAGCTTAGAAACTAAACAGCAGCAGGATACTCTGTTCAAGCTCTTCCAATGAAGGGAAGCCAGCATTGGCGCTTCCTTAGGAGGATGCTGTGAAATGGATGCTGTGTGACCCAGGGAGTCCCCTCATCTGTAAATACAGAATTTAAACATTTGTTCATGGATTTGCTGTTAAATCGTCCAGCAGGCCAAATAGAGGAGCACCATATCCTGCAAGGGGGATACTGCTGGGGCCCCAGGATACCACCACAGGGTCCAGGGGTCGCTGAGAATTGTTCCGACCTTTCTGCTAACCAGTTGGACGTGTTGAACATCTCCCAGCCTGCTCTGTCCTCTCTGGAGAACTTGGGCTCCTGCAGCCAAGGGAGCTGCCCCCTGCCTCCCATTGTCCTCATCCTCCTTCCCAGACGTTGCTCTGCCTCTGTCCTGGGCTCAGGCAGAGAAAAACCCCTCCAGTCTTTCATCACATCCATCTATTCCTATGCTGGCCATTGGTTAGGCTTTGGAGTGACTGTGTATAGGCTTTCTGTTTCTCTCTGCTCCCAGTCCCCTCACCTCCTTCTGCCTTGGGCTCTGCTTTAGTGAGAATTTGCCCCCAAAGCCAGCTTAGGGGTTGGATCACATGCTGAAGACGGGATATGCCAGGTCAGTAGCGCAGACTCTGGGTGGGCCTACTGAGGGTTGAGAACTCTCCTGGAAAGGGGGGTGGGGCAAAAAGACCTCCTAAAGGTTTTTAGGAGAGCAGAGGACGCGGTGAGGCCAAGCCACATATAGCGTGACACAGAGGCCTGACCCGAAAGGCCAGGGGACCATGGGCCGGGGGAGGCCAGGGTGGGCTGAGCGTAGGGTTTCATTGCCCAGGAAGGAGGGGCAGGATGGGCGGGCTGGCCGACAGGCGGACCCCCGAGACTGCCTGGCAGGAAGAGAGGCCCCGGCTCCCCAGGCTGGGCTGGTCGCACCGGGTTGTGCGCTGAGTGTGGGCAGGGCTGTTAATGACTGTTTGTTCTCCGCGGGCTGCAAGGCTGCCAAGGGTCAGTCTGATAAGAGGGAAGAGATAGACTCCTCGAGGTTTATCCTCCCGCCAGCTGCCTCCTTTCTGATGGCCGCAGATACTGACAGGCTATTGTGGCCCTGTTCTCTCCCCTTCCTGACACACACCGCCCCTGGCTGCAGCCCAGCTGGGCTTCCCCTGCCTGGCCTCCAGCTCCCATTTCCATCTGGGGTTAGATGAAGCCTGCACTGGGGGAGGGGTCAGTCCTAGAAGGCTGAGCTAGTTCCAAGTCAGCCTGTGATGGGAGAACCTGGGGGTGGCCAGGACTCTGGACTGAGCAGCCACTCCTAGACCTGCCTGGTCCATGTTGGCCTCAGGGTTACCCCCAGCTCCACCAGCCAGGCCGTGGGGTCTTGAGGGAGCCCCACCTTTGCCCCAGAGCTTTGGGAGGTTTGGTTCTTTCTCTGAGAGGAACAGAAATGGGGATCTGATGGAATTTGCATTTGGGAAGATCATTTGGCCTTTCTGTGGAGACTGAATTGGTGGGAGGGAGGTCTCCTGAGTAGATTTGGGGCTTTAGCAGCTCAGGGGCTACTGTAGGTGGACGATGGCAGTGCTTCGCTAGAGAGGGAGTGGCAGACGTGGAGGAAAGTAGAAAAGGGAGAGATTTAGGTGGGAAACCTCAGATGGACTTTGTAACAGGTTGGCTGAAGGAGGTTGAAGGAAGGAAGGGGCATAGATGACTCCCAGGTTTCAGGGTCAGATGATGATGCCCCTTTGCTGACAATGGGAATACAGAGGGAAGCTCAGGTTTTGGGGGCTTAAAGTGTGGCTGAGTTTGGCATTGTGAGTAGGGTGAGTTTGAGGTTCTGTTGGGTACATGCAAGGTATCTCATCAGAGAGGTGGCTGCTAGAAGTGAGTGAGATAGATGGATAGAACTCAGGGTAGTGTCTGGCAGCATTTGGAAAAGTCAGACATGACTCTTTAACAGGTTGAGAAACAGATTTGGAAAGGGTTTTTTCCCTCAAATCCATTGCCAGACAAGGAATGGCGCCAAGGGTCCCGACTCCCCGTTGGAGTCTGTGTCCAGGTGGTCTTCTCTTGCCCTGATCACTTCAACCGGGTCTGGGCCCAGCCGAGTAGCACCCTCCCCTCCAGTCTTGCTAGTGGTTGGGGGACTTTGGCTGTGAGTCCTGACCCCAGGCCACCCGGAAAGACTACATACATCAATGGCTCTCCCACCATCTGTGCATCCGGGCAGTGTCCTCAGCTGGAGAAGGGTGTGGGTCCTGGCCAGGGAGTTCCCAGAGTCACCGCTGGGAACCCAGAATCCCTCTGTGCCTGAGGGCCCCTCAGCTGGACGGACTTATGAAGGGCAGGGTTTCAGGGCCAGGTTCAGGGTAGCACTTTTGCACTACGTGGCAAGTGATACTGTAGTGGTTTTTTAAAAATTCTTTTAAATGAAATGGAAAATAGTTGTACATGTGTGCAAGATTTTATCAGTTGGACTTCTTCATTACAGCAGCCGAAAGCCAACTCTTAAAAGTGCTTTGATAAAAGGGAACTGGTTGACTCATACCTGAGGGAATGGCTGGCCACATGCAGGGAAGGGAAGAGCTCAAACAATAGCTGCCTCACCCTGCCTTCTCCGTCAGGACACCTTCCTCACCCCCCACGTGGTAGAAGGTGTCTGCCAGCAATGCAGGCCTCTGCCTTCTGAGCATCCCAGCCCAGGACTGCCGCGGGACTCCTGGGTTCACTTGGAATCGGGGCCCTCCCCCAGCCCTGGATCAAGAACTGAGCTGTGCTTAGTCCCTGAGTCGTGTCCGACTCTTTGTGACCCCATGGGCTGTAGCCCGCCGGGCCCATCTGTCCATGGGATTCTCCAGGCAGGAATACTGGAGTGGGTTGCCATGCCCTCCTCCAGGGGATCTTCCCAACCCAGGAATCGAACCCAGGTCTCCTGTACTGCAGGCAGATTCTTTACCATCTGAGCTGCCAGGGAAGCTGGCTGGCTGCATTTGGTGCTCTGATTGGGCACAGAGATGGAAGTTTGGGAAGAGATGATTCTCCGAAGGATGATGGGGTTGTCGTCCATTCTAAGGGCATCGTGTACTGAGGCAATAAGCAGAGCTAAGTGTGTGTGTCAGAATCACACCGTAGGCAAACTTACAAGGATTTGTTGCCATTTATTCACTTACCTTGTTAAAAACTGAATGCTGGAATGTAGACTGGGACTCAGAATCACAGAGTCACTCCATTTTTAGATCAGGAAGTGGGAGCTGAGAAATTTGCCTAAGATCCTCAAACCACTAGGTAGAAGCACTGAGTCCAAGAACCCAGGCCGCCTATCTAACTTGCAGACGGAGGTTCTTTCCAATAGGAATGGCATCTTTACGGGAGGAGCTCCCTGCCGCAACCCCCGTGCCCTGGCTGCCCATCCACGGAAGTCCTGCATCCCCTGGACTGCAAGATACAGAGCAGACACAGGCGGCTCATGGCAATGGCCCCTTCCTCGTGGTAGCTGGTGTTATGCAGGCCTCTGTCTGGGCTCAGCGGGTCGTTCACTCTGCATGTTCAGCCAGCTCCCTTGGCCCAACTAGGCCTGCCTGAGCCCTGGAGCTGCCTCCATGCTCTCCCGCCTGCCCTGTCTTCTTGGCTTCTGAAGTGCCCACCCTGCCTTGAGTTTCCTGCGGAGACCCTGTAAGGACGCAGCTCCAGGGCCACTGTGCTTCCTGCTGGACAGGGCCGTGCCCCACCCCCCGCCTTTTCCCTCCCTTAGAAGATGGTGCTCAGGTCAGCGGTGCCGGTTTCAGCTACAGAGACGATTTTGGCCTCAGTTTGCCCGTCACTTCCCATTTGTGGGGGTACAGAGGTTTGACTCAGCCTGGCAGAGCCAAGAGTGGGGTGTTGTGGAAAGAGCTATGTGGGGATTCCCTGGCGTTCCAGTGGCTAGGACACCACACTTTCACTGCTGAGGACCCAAATGCAATCCCTGATGAGGAGCTGAGCTCCTGCAAGCCGTGTGCTGTGGCCAAAAACAAAGCGGACAAAGCCCCACGGGGTGAGCCCACCACAGACCTAGGAGAATGGCTAGTCTCCTGAGCTGTCGGCCGACCCGGCCTGGCCAGAGCACTGTCTGCCCCGCATGCTTGGCTCCCGCAGGCTCTCTGGCCCACCTGTTTCTGTCTGGGGTCCTGTTCTCAGAGATCGGCCAGTCTGGGCTAGGCCTCCTGCTCCCGCAGGCGGGTCCATGGTGTCTGCGCGCGTCCCTGCCCCCTCCCCTCTGTGATGCTGAAACCCAGCGGTACCTTGGGTATGTAGTGCCTTGTAGCTTACAGTCATCACTCACTGCATCTTGACAGTGACTGTGAGGTAAGGAGGGCAGCAGGTGTCACCATACCCATTTTAGAGACAGAAGACCTGAGTACCAGAAAGGTATGATTTGCCCAGACTCGCCAACTTTCAGATAGAGCCAGTCCTGGAACTGGAGTCCAGAGTCCACTAGGCTAAACTCACAAGCATGTGTTAAAGTCGGGCTGCCTCATCTCACCAGGCGAGGGGCTTGGGAGGAGGCCCTGGGCCCCCCTCTTCACAGCCCCGGTCACCCGTACAACCCAAGCTCCAGACAGGCACCATCGTGTTGGCCAGCCCCTGGTAACCCCAGGGCACGTAATTAAGTCAGTCAAGAGGTATCCCTCCCTCGCAACTCTCATGGTGGACCCTGGTGTCCCTATTCCTCCTCTCCATGTTCCCCAGAGTTGACACCAGTAATGTCATGATGTCCATGATTACTGGACATCCTGACCAGCAATGTCAGGATGTCATGACAGTTATTATCTTAGCATGGAGTGTATAACTCAGGCCAAGTCTGGGAGGGTCAGCCACTCTCTGCGGATGGGACTGGGGAGGGCTCCTTGCTCCGCAGCCTGGCTCCCCTCACCCCGGGGCAAGGGGCCCGAGGCAGGGTGAGGGGAAGGCCGCCTTTGCGGTCCTCATGGCAGCCGACATTGCCACTTGGCTGAATTGGTAAAGCGGATTACCTGCCTAGCAACCTTGTGGGGGGGGGTGGTTCTTTCCCCACAGGGGTCCTGCCTGAGTCACTCACAGTGTATTATCAGCTCATCGGTGACAAGGACGGTGGCTTAGCTGGGGCCGGGGAGGAAGGGAAGCAGGTGTGCACTGGTCCCGACAGTTTCCCAGCCACCTGCTTTCTGCCCCCTGGAGCTGACTGTTAGTGACCCGGGACTGGTGCGGGCACAGGCAGGAGTGCGTCCACGGGGTTGGTGCTGGGAGCGCCTCTGTGGCACTGGGCAGGGCGCAAGCTCAGGGCCTCTGCCTGGGTGGCACAGCTCTCCCTTTCTGCTGGAGAGATGACTCCGGAGAACACAGGCTGAGCAAGGGGCCCACTCCTGGGCTTCTCTGCACCTCCAGTCCTGGGGGAGAGAGACGACATCGCCCCCTTTAATCTCCTGGTCCAGGCGTGGATGCAGACACCTTCTTTGGGTTTTCATTAACATAGCTGTCACAGGCTGACCTTTCCAAAAGACATCAATAAATATAAAAGGACTCTTCCGGGGACGGCATCTAGAGGCATTCAGCATGGTGCACCGTCTGACATACTGTCATAGGCTGCCCTACAATACAGCCTCTAACACAACCAGGCTGTCCCGAACCCCTGGTAATAGAATTGTTTACCTTTATACCAAGAAGGTTGGGAAAGCACCAGAATCTGCATGTGGTATGTGCCCAGGCCAACTTAGAGGCGTTCGTGCCGTGAGACCTAGAGTTCTCATGAGGTTGTCTAAAACGAAGAAACACGTCAGCCGAGCCTATGGTGGTTCCATGTGTGCTAAATGTGTCTGGGACAGGATCAAGCGCTCTTTCCTTATTGAAGAGCAGAAGATCGTTGTGAAAGTATTGAAAGCACAAGCACAGAGTCAGAAAGCTAAATAAAAAATGAACCATTTTTGAGTAATAAATAAAAAAAATAAATATAAAAGGAGAATAAAAGAAAGCTAAAGATAAGGTGTATGAAGAATAAAAACAGTCTGGCTCGCAAGGGACAGGTTCCTGGTTTGTTTCCAGGGTTTTTGGGGTACTGTTCCCCACTGGAGATATGCTCCCCTAGCATGGAGTGTACCTCTGCATGCCTTTCTTCCAGAGACTCTGGTCTCCTAGGGCTGACCTGTGTTCCTGTCTAAGGAGCCCTGGTGCCTATCCTGCCTTGAGTCCTCCCTGGAGCAGGTGGGTCATCTCTTCTCGTTGTTATTCCGTTGCTAAGTTGTGTCTGACTCTTTGCAACCCCTGGGACTAGAGCATGCCAGTCTCCCCTGTCCACTGTCTCCCAGAGTTTGCTCAAAATCCTGTCCATTGAGTCAGTGATGCTACCTAACCATTTCATCCTCTACCTTCTCCTTTTGCCTTCAGTCTTTCCCATCACCAGTCTTTTCCAGAGAGTCAGCTCTTTGCATCAGGTGGCCAAAGCATTGGCGCTTCAGCTTCAGCATCAGTCCTTTGCAGTGAATATTCAGGGTTGATTTCCTTTAGGGTTGACTGAGGGAATGTGGCTCCTTCCCAAGGTCCCCCAGAGAATTGGCACCGACTGGGCTGTACCTATAACAGTGCCGCCTCATTTATCCTAAGTAAGCCTTGTAACAGGAAGGCATTCTGTTGACACGGTGCTCAGGCCCCCGCTTAGCCCGTGAGCTGCTGCAGAGGGCTGGTGCCCCCTCCAGCATCTGGTCTCACCACCTGGCTCCTCCTTCCCACTGGGCAGCAGGAATAGAAACTGATAAGTTGGCTTGGTTGATGAAAGTTTCTGGGTGAGTTGGGCGAAAGATTGTTCTGGGTTAAAAAACAGCAGAGAACACTTTGAAGTCATCTAGTCCTGATAAAGGAGATAAGCACCTGACCACAGATCGGCGTTTCTGGTCCGCCTCCTGCCTGGCTTATGAGTGGTGCCCTGACGGGCCTCCACACCCCACCGGCACGCAAGGTGGTCCCATTTCATTCCCGGTGTTGAGATGAAGCCAGAGAAAAATCAAAAGAAACTGCCACCTGATAAGGAAATGTGGGGGCAGGATGGATAGAATACGGGAGGTTGTCTACAGTCCACTGGCCCTCCCCTGCTGGAGCCGTTTAGAGAAATTTGCAGCTGACAAAGTAGGACTCTGTCCTGCAGCCCTGGCCGTCCCCTTCATGATGTTGTCTGGTTCCAGCGGCTCGGCAGACTTCCCACTTGGGTGGCTTGGCTGGGTCGTGAGGATTGAAAGGTTCCAACCAAGGTATCCTGAGGGTATCCTGACCAAGGGGAGGACGTTGGCACAGTCCTGGGGCAGAGGACACAGCCCTGTTCTCACTCGCACCTTCAAGTATGATGCTGGCCCGAACGGATAGTGTGTTCCTTACTCCCCCCCTGGGCTGGGGGGCTGGAGAACCCTGGAACTGGGGCTACTGTTTTCCTGGAAGCATTGCTTCTGGACCGTCACGTCCCAGGAGCTCTGTGAGCATTCCTGGGGGCTGGAGCTGGTCCCACGGATCAGAGCTGTGGGTCAGGTCCGTCCCACTGTGCACCCAGGAAGAGCTGGTGTCTGCCCTCTGGTTGCTGAGGGCCTGTAGTCCTGCTGAATCGTGTGTGTGCTGTGAGGACACAGACCCGGGTCCTGCGGCCTGCCTTGCCCTCAAAGCATCGGTCACCTGCCTCCTGGGCTCCTCTCCTGCAGGGTCACGGTGCTGGTCCTTTAGGTAGGACCTCTTCTCTGGCATTCTCTCTTCCCCCCGCCATCCCACAAAAGATACAGGGGTAGACGCTAGAGTTTTAAGTTGAATCCTTCAACTCTGAGCCTGGGCCAAGGCCTGGCTGGAATTGGGAGTCATGGAGATGGTGGCCTGGAAGCCTCTAGAAGCACAACTTCTCCCTTCCCTGGGTGTGCACTGGCAGGACTAGTGTAGACCCTAGCTCCAGCCTTCTCCATCAGCTTCTTCAGGTTGCCAGCTTCCCCAGGCCTCTGGTGCTGGGTGGAGAGCTCTGTCCAGAACCCCGCGCCGGGTGCAGGCTGGGGAGGGTGCGGACCAGGGCAGTGGTGGGGAACGGAAGCACCAGTCCTGTCCCTTCCCCGGTGGGAGGGCGGCAGTGATCAGATGCAGGATTCCTGGGGTGCCATCTCAGAGCGCTGGTTGGAAATGAGGGAGAGAACGTTTGCCCTTTGCGCGCAGCCCCTGGAGCTTCCTTCTCAGCCTGCACGCCCTTGCCGGGAGTGCTGCAGGCAGCTGTCTGGGTTCCCTGGCTGGTCCCCTGCCCTGTGGGTGCACGCATTGGGGAGATGGAGGTTGGTTACCTGGAGAAACTATCTACTCCTCTTCCTGTTCACTCAGTTCCAGCAGGGGCAATGGAATGCCGTGAGCCTCTCTTCTAAACCCTCTATCAAACCTACACCTGCCCTCCCACCCCAGGGCAGAGGGTGTGTGCGCGTTTGGGGGAACCGGTGTTGAGAAGGATTGGATTAACCCATGTTCCTGAGAAGAGCAAAGAGCGCTGTCTTTCATGAGCGTGAGCTGGATGAGAAGCATTGTCCTTCTCCCCAGGGTCTAGGAGCTGAAGACCTGACTCACCCCTTCCTTCTGGAAGCCCTCGGCTCTGCCCACCACACCCGTTCTAGCTGTTGGCATTGCTCCGGTTATGCCCCCCTAAGTCCTCTGGGGTAGGCCATCCCCAGCTCCATCTTCTTTAGCAGCAAGGCCAGGAGCTGGTCTTTAGGGTTGGCTGCCCTTGGCATGCCCTTGGAAGGGCAGCTCTCCTAGGGGGAGCCTGGCCGGCAAAACCAGGGAGCCCTGGGTGGTAGGTGGACCAGAGGGGCTGGTGGAGCCGCCTCAGAATGGGATTCGCATTGCTCTGCTCCTTAACGGAGCAAGAGCTGCGAGGCCAGAGAAGGAGCTTTGCTGCAGGGTCAGTGATACAGCTGCTCAGGAGGGGGAGGGCTGGGCCCTTCTGTGCCGCCTGCCGCTCCCGGGTGCAGGAGATGCTTGTTGAACAAACACATCCTCTGCTTTGCTCTTGAGATCTGAAACGTCCCCTAGACACCCAGACAAGGGGCAGAAGGAGACGGAGGGCTCGGTGGCAGCTCTGTAGCTCTTCATTACATCTCTGGTATGACTGAGGTCTCAATTGTAAACCGTGATGAACAGCCGAGCCACCTGGCGCCTTGAACCTTATCTTTAAAGACAATCAGAGCCGACTCAAGCACCCTTGTCAC